GTATATGTGACTTTAGTTCAGACCTAGTCCTATCACCTACTAGCTGTACAACCTTAAATAATTTACATAATTTTCCATTCAAATTTCCCCTTGACGTTAAAATAAAAATAATAATCATTCCTAACTCACAGAGAATGGTTGTGAGAATTCAATGAGTTACTGAAATATCTTAAATGCCTATCATAGTATTAGATTGGTTTTTTTTATCATCATCATCAAAGGAATGAATGGAAAATTAGTCCCCAGGTTTATATATTTGTTAAGTGGAGATGAGAATTTACTTATGGAGAGAAAATATAAATGACAAATTTTGGACATGTTAAGTGTCTAACATAAAGTAAGTAAGTGAAGTCACTCAGCTGTATCCGACTCTTTGCAACCCCGTGGACTGTGGCCTACCAGGTCCTCCGTCCATGGGATTCTCCAGGCAAGAATACTGGAGTGGGTTGCCATTTCCTTTACCAGGGGATCTTGCCAACCCAGAGATTGAACCCGGGTCTCCCGCATTGCGGTGAGACACTTCAACCTCTGAGCCACCAGGGAAGGCCCTAACATAAAGTAGGACCTCAGGACCTCAGTAAAAATGCACTGAGTTAGTGAATAAATGAATGCTTGAAATGTCTATGGGAAAACTGGAAGATTTCTACCTGTATGTATCAGATATTTAGAATGCAGCCGTATATTACAAATATAGATCTGGGAGTTGTTAGTGTACAAGTATTCTTTAAATCCATGCATGACTGATTTCAATCAAGCAACCCCTATACTACAAAAGACAGACGAAGGGCAAACACAGAAGAAGAAATACCAACATTTTTCAGACCAAGCAGAGAAGTAGACAAAAAAGCATTCTGAGAAGATATTTACCACTTTCCACATGTGGCAAAGGAAATTTGTTTGTAATTTATGATACTATCTCAAATCACAAGACTTTTGTGAACATAATCATACCCTTCACATAACAGTATGTACTGAGATTATATAGGGGGAAAAGACAATATAACCTATAAAATATAAGGAAGTCTCTTTTCTCGTCCCTTTATTAGAATTTTCATGAAAATATTTCCTACTGAAGAAGCTCTGACAGAATACACACAAGAAACTTAAATATAATTGACAGCTGAAGCAGGAAGGACAGTATTTTTCCTATAATTAAAAAGTAGAGTATACAGTATATATGTTTAACTATGTGTAACACTGCATCCAAAACTTATATGATTTTTTAAAAACTACAAATAGTTGGTCTCTGCTTATAGTTCCTTAAACAGAGCTCCTAAAACCTTTGTAATTTCCTGGATAACAGGAGTCATAGGAGCATTTGTTCTAATATTTGGTCTTTATCTTTGGTTCCTCACACAGAGCTACCATGTCTCAAATTTTCCTGGGTACTAGAAGCATCTTTTATCCTAATGATGCCACTTCTGGCGGGTCCTTACATAGCTGGTCACCAGAAAGACCAAGGCATGATCAAAGGGTTGGAATTTTCAGCCCTCCCCTTGACCTCTGGGGAGGTGGGAGGCACTGGAGATTGCGATCACCAATTGCGATTGGTGATGACCAATGGTGAATGATTTACTCAATCAATGAAACCTCCATTAAAAACTCCTAATGAAAAAAAAAAAATCCTAATGATGGGGTTCAGAGAACTTTTGGGTGGGTGAATGCATCAAGGCGCTGGGAGGGTGATACGCCCGCAGAGGGCATGGAAACCTCATGTACCCCTCTCCGTATTTTGCCCTGTGCACATGCTCTACTTGGCTGTTCCTTGTTGTATCTTTTAATGCTATACCAGTGATAGCAAGGGCTTCCTGATTTCTGCAAGACAGTCTACCAAACTATCCCACTTTAGGAGGGAGTCTCAGGGACCCCTGCTATATAGATGGCTGTTCAGAAGTATAGATAGCCACCTAGGACTTGCTACTGGCATCTGAAGTGGGTGCAGTCATACAGAACTGAGACCTGAACCTATAGGGTCTGTGCTAACTCTGGGTAGTGTCAGAATTGAATTAAACTGTAGGAAACCTAGCTAATATCAGAGAATTAGAGAACTGGTTGTTGGGTGGAGGAAAAAGTAACTCAAAGTGTTAGTAAAAGCAATCTGGAAGAGAGGATAGCTAATGCAAATGCTGAGTACCAAACAGAAGTTTCAAGGACTTCAGGATATTTTCTACTTTCATGGCTAATCTCTAATAGCCATATGATCTTAAATAGTATATTTCACAAATACAACTCCTCTCACTTATTTTTTCAATCTTAACAGTATAAATAAGAAGGAGAAAATGTGTATTGGCTAGCCCTTGGTCTGGCAAACAGATTTTCAGTCTGCTAATGAGGTAAACGACTTGAATAAAATTAAAGCTACCCTAAAAAATTTAAAAAATAATAAAAACTTGCAAATTTTTTCCTCAGGAAAAACTTATATAGGACTGAATAAACCTCATTATTATTTCCTTTTCTTCATAACTGCATCAAACTTATGTTTAATGGAGGGTCTGCCTACAGCATGGTCAACCTGGAAAAACTGCACTAGTTGAAACCTGGTTCCAGACGGCAGAGTTTTTAAGCACAATTCTTTTTACTGAGAAGCTGACAGGAAATCTCCGAAGATGCAACACAACATCCTTCTGGAGCAACAATGGATTCTGTAACTCAGATCCAAACACCTCTCTTAAAATGCATGGAGAGAAATGCAATGATATAGAAGGAGCGGGACTGTGCTGGCCTCCCAGTCAAAGTTACTATTAACCTTAACTTCCCCATTTAACTTTATATCCCCCTTCTCACATTATGAAAATTTTTGTGACATTTTCTTTACATATGGTTCTTTGTATTTACAACACATTGCAGAATTTTTTTCCCACTGAATCCTGTGTTCAATATCGTTTATAGAATAGCCTCTTTTTTTTTCCAGCTTCTTCTCATAACCCAGCTAGCATCATAAAGTGAAGGTCATAGCTTGGTATGCGGTAGCCCCTAGACAAAGCATACTTCTATTTCACATTTGACAGATGTGGCAGTGTATCTACTTTGCAATCATGTTTAGCAGTGAGCACAGGTGAAATACATGTGCTTATTCCCTAACACATAAAACTTAAATTGGCATAGCCAGAGGCAGTTTATCCTAAGAGTCTTCTCAGCCTAAGCTCTTACAGGTCTTTTTATCCAGTACTCTCAGCCTGTGTACCATGGCTCCAAATTCCTAATTACTATAAAGTAATTTTCTTCCCTTGAGCTAAGCCTGGTAATATGCCTCTAACAGATGACCTCCAGAATGTAATTTGTAACATGTAAGGCCAAGTCTGAGAATAATTTTACATAGTTTAAATGAACATAATAAAAAAATCACAACAGCATCTCTACCTTTTGCCAGGGAAGTTGAAAAAAAAAAAAGGCAATAATAATACACCTAAGCTTAAAATAATGTTCCTAAAATGAACTCTTTCCTTCTCGTTAAAGTTATCCTTCCATCTTCATATATCCCAAGCAAATAATCATTGTTTAAGATTTCAAATTCAAAATTGTTTTCCTTTAATTTTAGTAAAGTGACCAAATTTGGATTCTGCTGTGTTTTTTATGGGAAGGGTACACTGTGATACTGGGTAAGGTGAAGGATATGTTTCCTTTTTCAAAGACTGTTCCATTTTTCAAAAAGTAATTTCAAAATCTTCCCATAAAATCTTCAATTATTTAAATAATCATGCTGAGTACCTGCTAAGTCACTTCAGTCCTGTGCAATTCTTTGCGACTCTATGAGCTATAGAACCCAAGACTCCTCTGTCCATGACATTCTCCAGGCAAGAATACTGGAATGGGTAGCCATGCCCTCCTCCAGGGGATCTTCCTGACTCAGGGAGCAAACCTGCATCCCTTATGTCTCCTGCATTGGCAGGATGGTTCTTTACCACTAGCACCACCTGGAAAGCCTCTGACTAATCATATCAAACCTAAAACCTAATATTTTTAGGTTTTAAAATGTGAAATAAGTAACTGAAGCTCTTCCTGAATAATCACCACTAAAACTGACTAGTCATTCATTCATCCTAAACCCATTTACTTACACAGATTAAGGTCAAGGCAGAAAATAAAGCTACCTCTGTAAAAAATCACCCCAAGAGTAGAAGATTCCAACTACAGCTATACATGCCAGTCACAGCTAAAAAGAGCAAAGCTGCAGGTGTCTTAAAGACAGGAAATAAGAATAAACCCAATCTTTCCAAAAATATAAAAATAAACAACTTTCCACTTGCAATGGGAACTTCCTCCTGCATATAGATGAAGAAAAAGCAATTCTCAGGGGTGCACATTTTCCTACAGCCATGAGTATTTTCCAGTCATGCTATTTTAATCCCAACTAAGCCACCCTCCCTCTCCTTTCTATCAAGAACATTTATTTATGACTGGCTGGAAGACTGGGGAATACAGTATATGAAGCTTCTGGACTTTTTTTTTTTCTAATAAGACTGCTCATGTTAATTAGCCTTCAAATATACTCTCAATATATAAAAATACAGACCAGTGTAGCCACTGCTTCCTAATTCCAATTCAGTTTAATCATAAATGGAAAATACGTCCAAGAAAACAGAGTCTCTGAGTACTTAATGATGGCTACATTATTCAAAAAGCTTCACAAGCATGACTGAAAAAGAGAAAGCCTGACGCACCCAGGAGAGGTATAAAGGAGACAATTGTGGCAGTAAAAGGGCCAGAAGAAACATTTCAGAAAAGGGAGGAGAAAGGTGAAGAATGCAATCAAGTTAATGACATTGAATATTTGAAGAATTGGGAAAACTCTCAAAATAAAGTATAAAAATTGGGACAGGAAATTGTATATACAGCATGACCCCAATTTTGTGATACAACTGTGTATTTTCTTGAAGAAAATATTGAGGGGGTTTTCCCCTAAATTAGTTGGGTTTGTTTTTTTTTTTAACTTCTTCATTCCACTCTTTATATTTCTTATCACAAATTGTGCTTGTGAAATTGAAAAAATACACACTCACGCGTTTCATGAAAATTCAGCTCCTTTCTTGTCCTTTTAATTGACATAACACGTCGCTAAAGTTCGGGCTCTCAGTAGAGTTGGTAAGTAAACCGGTCCATTAAGGTTACTCCTTTCCTTCTGGCTGTAAGATACAATTTGAGGGTAGAAGAATAACTTCCGGCTAAGCAAGGCCTCTTTGGAGTAATGGCAGCTCGTGAAAGGCTTCTCTCTGAGGGCAGCACCTCGCATGCCATTTCCAGGCCTAGTCTCTCTGTTCTACGAAACCTACTGAAGACACGCTGGGCTAGGCCAGCATTTGGAAGCCCGGAGCTACACTAAAGCAAAAGAGTAAACTACCACAGCGTCTCCTAGCCGCTCAGGATTACCCAGAACTGACTCTGCGGCTCCCAGGCTGCCCTGCGCCACGCACCATCACGCACACCACGCACCGTCACGCATGGCCACGCACCGCGGGCCAAAGAGCTCCGCCTCTGCATATAGGCCCGTGTAGTACCGCGGCTCGACTGTAGTGTTGCCTTACTCTCTCATTTGAAGCTTCTGTGACTGCAACTTGCACAGCTCCGTCGTGATGTCTGAGGCTCTCGGACGCAGCCGTCATTCCCTTGAAGGCACAATGAGGTGCTTCTTTGCTTCCCATCCCAACCATACATTTTCCTGGTAGTGCGGCCTTGGTGCTTTTAATCACCCCTTCCACACCACGAAGTAAATCGCAACATGCATGGCTGACCATTTACTTCCTCAGGCTCTGCCTGACTTTGTGTGCACTTTATCTGACTTAGACTTCCTTTATATCCCTCTTCACCTGCCCACGGCAGCAGTTCTTCACTTCTTAGGAACCATAATGGTGGAATGGATGCGTGACTGCATGCCAAGTCACTTCAGTCCTGTCTGACTCTGCGACTCTATGGACTTAGCCCTTCAGGCTCCTCTGCCAGTGGGGGTACTCCAGGCGAAAATACTGAGTGGGTTGGCATGCCCTCCTCCAGGGGATCTTCCCGACCCAGAGACCGAATGGAATGGATGCAGAGAAACTTAATTTCAGAGTGTTTAAAAAACGATAATTTAATGCTACAAGATACTCCATCACATGTATTTCCTACTTCTGTAATCCCCTCCCCAAAATATTAAGTTTTAAAGTATAATGAAGCGAATCCTACGGTTATTCTGAAAGTCACAGACAACCAGGTAGTCTCATTTTCTGCCCACAAGATAAATTTTCTGGAAATACGTTCCATTTTGAATTCGCTAAGGGTATGTTGCCAATCCTGCCTGGGACAAGAGAGCAGGATGAGACACGGATGAACCCTATAATGTATATGAAGTGCTTAGCCATCCATATATATTAATAATCTATAGTGTTAGCTATGATTACCATACTGCAGAAAAGGAGAACCAGAGAAATAGATTTGAGCAGAGTGCCACAGTAGGAAAAGAACATGTGTAAGTTAGTTCCACACCCACATGGACCCATAAAAAGCTAAACTGATCACTAATTTCACCCTCAATTTCAAATGCTACCCTAGTCCGGGAAACAAGTACTCTCATTTTTGATCTCACTTTCCATAAAGGAAACTATATTACTGATCCTGGGTGTAAGACTTTCCACCATTATTTAAAATGTTCTGAGTTGCAATGAAAGGAATGAACCATATAGAGAAACATGATTTGAACCCAAGGTTTATATAGTAAGATGCTGTATTACAAGCTTTCACTATTTTCAGAAAATGTCACTCTAGAAATGAAACATTAAGCATAAACAGTTGGAGATATAGAATCCTGCAGCCTGTTACATGGATTATGGAGAGGAGAAAAAGGGGAGAGAAATGGAGGAAAAGAAATAGTTTTGCCAACATAAACTCTGATTTGAGGAGGTGAGGGGCCTGTGGAGAGGATGGTGCAGCTAAATTGTTGAGGAAGATATTTGGTTAGGAAACCTAAGGAAATCAGTTTGAAATGATTGTGATAGATTACCTTCCAGATAGAAGCAGTATTAGGGCCTTTCTTTTCACTTTTAAGTATAATTTGAATATAATATTAATATTTTCCATTTAAAAAATAATATATTAAGAAATTTTCTCTTTGTTTTTTAAGGAAAAACCTAACATCTGGTTGTTGAAGACTTTACAAGACCATTCCTCATTTAAGCCAAGTCCACTTAATAAGGTCAGAACAAATTCAAACTTAATGATTTGTGGATTTTTTTTTAATCAACAGCATACTACAAGATGACAAACATATAAAGGAAAAAAAATGGTAAATTATTGCAAGTTTATCAGATTAAAACCAGCAACTACCATTTCAAATGTTCTTGGATTTTTATGTTATATGAATGGAAATCGTAGTTTATAAACTGTTAACAAAGTTTCTACTTGATGCACTTTTCAGCATATGGTCCTTCAGGAAGGTTATTTTGAAGGACAAAAAGATGCTGCTAACCAATTATGTTAACTTGATCCCAGACTTACCAATGGTAAGAGAAATAACCATTGTGTGTGTGTGGAAAAAGAGCTTTTTCTGCAGCACACTATTTAAAGAAATAAAAATAAGGATGTCGTTGAAGCTATTTCAGATAAATTCTAAAGATCTAGTAAATGCCCAGGTCACTTTGTGGGTGGGGGGAACAAAAAACCGTGTAATGGCTAACAATTCTTTAGAATCACTACAAATGTAAATGTCTGTTTCACAAATATTGGTTTATGTCATGTGGTGACTCAGGTAACACTCACAACTACAACCATAACATAAAATATTCCAGAGGGAAAAAAACAATGAGAAGCCTAAAAACCAGAACACTGTCTTAAACTGAAAGGACAGTAAATACACATCATTTTTGTATTTTAAAATCTCCTAAAACTTGGATTTTCCTGTAAGCAAAAAAGGTAACCTCCTGATGAGCTCATACACAGTGTTATATCTGTTTCCACTGCAACTCTCAAACTCTTCATTTTGATTATACTTTTCTGGATGCCCACAAGATCTTCACTGAAACGGAAAATACCCTCCAGAGCAGAGTTTCTTTTTCCAACAATACAACTTGAAGAGTCACAGTGCCCTCTACTGATCAACTGATAAAACCCACTTTTACTTCAATCTCCGAAAACAAAGTTTCAGTGAATCTTGTATATTTTCAAATAGTTTTTCCCATAAATATTAATAAATGCCAATTTCTGTTTCTGAGAGGCAAAAATATTTATGGTCAGTTAGCACATATCACAGTGGATAATGACTCCTTTTTTTGTCCATTGCTCCTACAGTTAAGCTGTATCTAGATGGCAAAAAAGGCTTAACTCCAATCAAGCCTGCAAAACAAGGGCCATTAAAATGTACAAATGTAAATTTTTAATCTAGAATTGTGGTAAGGACAATTTTATGGAGTTTTGGGTCTGTAGTTAAGTCTCGAATCTGCCATTGTCTGACAGTGAGACCTGTGGAAAGGGACGTGATCACGCTGCACCTCACTTTTCTTCACGTGTAAATGAATAAAGGTTGGCTGAGTTGGTGAGGATGCAGGAAAACGAACTCTAAACATTTTTAGTAAGAGCGTTGATGCTATAGCCTTTCTGGAGGGAAAATTGGCACTAACTCTCAAACTAACAGGCGTTTCTTAAGTTTATTGCCAAAAACTCTCCAAAACCATTTTCCAAATGTACATTGCCTTAGTGCCAGAATAAGTGTCAATATTTAATTCTTACTCTGTCTCATCCACTAAGTGCTTTAAGTATGTTTTTTCATTTAATTCTCAAAAAAATCTTATGATCTAGAACCATAATTAACCCTATTTACATGTCAGGAAACTGAGACATGAGAAGGTGCCCAAGTGGTATAAACTAACCAATAATTGCTAAAACCTGGATCCAAACCCAGACTGTATGGTTCAGGGTCCACACTGCTGACCACCTGCTCTTCTTCCAGAACTTCATCTTCTGGGAATTTATCCTAAGGAAATAATCAAGAATATGCATGAATACTTTTTTTTAATTTATTTTTAACTGAAGGGTAATTGTTCTACAACATTGTGTTGGTTTCTGCTGTAGAACCATGTGGATCAGCCATAAGGATACATACACAAAGACTGTTCAATCAGTGTTCATTTCAGCATCATTTATAATAAAGGGGAAGAAAGGAAAATAACCTAAATTACCATTAAAATGATTGTGTTAAAACCAAACAATTGACTCTGTACCCTTAAAGAGCATCTAATGACATGGAAAATGTTCCCAAATATAGTAAGTGAAATGTTAGAAGCATACACACATACATATATATGTTTATGTACAGTGTGCTCCTATTTTGTAAAGAAATATATGTTCAAGAAAAACGAAGGAAAATTATCCAAGTATAAATAATAATTATGTCTAACTGGTGAGTTTACAGGGTAGTGATTTTTATTTTCTTTTTTATGGCCATTTTCCAAATTCTAAAAATACATTATTTCAACGAAGGGTTCAGGCCAAATGTGCTCTCAGATACTTTCTGACTCTAATAAATTTTTATTATTTTGAATGTGACGAATAGAGAATAGTCATGGAATTTTAGAACTAGGAGAGAAAAAAGGTTACATTCTCTCCAGCAGTTTCCAAATCTGTTTCATCCTCAGAATCACCTGAGCTGATCAAAATACAGACTTCCTGCCTCCCTCTTTCCCTGATCCAAATCACCTGCACATGAAGCTCAGGTGATCCTTCTGATCTGACACTTTGGGAAGTACGAATTTACCCCCATTGCATCATTTCCATCCTCTCACAAGTTGTAAAACAGGATTCTTCTAAACCAAACACAGACCAGAGTCATCATATACTGTTATAAGCTATCATATACTATTATCAATTGATATCGATATTGACAAACTTTAGTTTCAATTCCTTAATTTTGTTAAGGAAAAAGTGCATCTTACTATAAAAAACAAATTTACTAATGAAAAATTTTAGCCATAAGAATAATGAAAGCTATACCTACCAACAATGAGCAGAGAGAATGCATTCTTTTTTTTTTATATATATATTTATTCCTTTTGGCTGCGCTGGGTCTTTGCTGAGGCATATCGACTTTCCTAGTTGCTGAGAGTAAGGCCTACTCTTTAGTTTCGGTGCATGGGCTTCTCGCACTGGCTTCTCTTGCTGTGGAGCATGGACTCTCAAGCGCGCGGGCTTCAGCAGTTGTGGTGCCTCGGCTCAGTAGTTGCAGCTCACAGGCTTAGGTGCCTCACCACATGTGGGATCCTCCTGGACCAGGGATCAAACCTGTATCCCTTGCATTGGCAGGTGGATTTTCAACCACTGGACTAGCAGGGAAGTCCCTGAATTCTTACCTGTGTTCATTGCAAATAGCTTGTCCTCATTTCTCAACTACATGCCTACTTAAAGGATCCAAGGATCCCTTAGTGCCCACAAGACCCAAAATCAGATTCCCTCCCTCCACCCCAAAAAGAAGCATATTTGCTACTGTGGGGGCATTTCAGTTAACTCAGCAAAAAAAAAATTGTTTTAAGTAGAAGATTGTCCAAAGGTTCTCAGTAGTCCTAGTTGCATAGAGTAAGGAAAAGACACTCTGGACACAGTGAAAGCATTTATACAGAGAGAAGTTAAGATTTGCAAAATCTCTCTTAAAGTTCCAGAATTTAAGTATTTGTCACCTCTTTGAAGCTACTTGGCATATTCTTGGGGCAGCAATTTATTTGTGATATAGTAACCTGAGTCCCAAATTGGCTGTATGGAAGAAGATAAAGTTACACTAACTCTCAGGGAAATGCACATCACCTGAGTCTATCTTATTCAAGCCACAAACCTAGTTGCATGATATACCCATGTCACTTTGTACATGAAGACATCTACCCGAGGTGTACCCCAGCAGAAAACAGGGAGCTGGCTACTGATCTTAAGTGAAGAGTGAAAGTCAGTTAGTCATGTCCATGCTCTGTGACCCCATGGACTGTAGCCTGCCAGGCTCCTCTGTCCTTGGGATTATCCAGGCAAGAATAGTGGAGTGGGTAGCCACTTTCTTCTCCAGGGGCTTTTCCTGACCCAGGGATCAAACCCAGGTCTCTCACCTTGCAGGCAGACTCTTTACTGGCTCAGCCACCAGGGGAGCCCACTGATCCTAAAATGATAGGTAATTAAGACTGAAAGGTAAGATGGTTCATCTCGCCTTCCTAAAATTCAAAACTAAATATCTCCTGATATAACAGTCTTGAAACAAAAATGTGCACACTCACAAAACATTTAAAGATAAAAACCAGGACCAAGGTTGAATTAAAAAACTTCGTGAAAATTGTTGAGCAGTAGTGGGCATCGAGGCAACATTAATTGTGGGTAGCATGTACTGTTAGTTTGACTGCTTTGGTGATTCATCAGTTAACACCTTCCCCCAAGTTGTAACTGCAAACTCTGCTTCAGTTCCCTTACCTGAGCCTTCTCTCTGCTTTCTTACAGTCCTGGAGAATGTTCTACTCAAGGCAACAAGTACACACAGAGCCCAAATGAACTATAATTAAGGTGGCAAGAGACCAAGGAAAAGAGCAGTGTTAGTTCAATTGTTTCCTTTGCACGGGTAACAGATGGACTCCAAGCTCTAATAACCCTTTTGTACTTCAGCTAAGGCTGACAATACATCATTATACTCAGATGGAAGCAAGAAGAAGGTGCCTAGCAACTTGGACTTGGAATGCCTAGGCTTTTGTCAATTTACATCATAATCTTAATAGTAAACAGGCTTGCTCTCATTTGCCAGTCATCACCTCATTTTATGCTTTTCAAACACAAGAAGATTAAATAGTCTTTCTTGAAAGTACTTTAGCCCCTTAGATATAGAACAGTAGTAGTATTTAAGAGTCTCCCCTTATAACTGTGTACATAAAACTGCCATTAGCCTTGATGGAAATTATATCAGTAAGTTGGGGGGCCTACTATGGGTAATATTTTCATTAGCAAAAGTATGCACATAACCCAGGCTCTTTTTGGATTTCAGTAGGATACCAAGGACTATTTTTGGGGCCTCATTACTCTTGTATTCTTGTGCTTTATGTATAGAAGAAGTCATTAGAACATCTATTTATATTTAATTTTATATTCTCCTTTTTAAGCTCTATTTGTCTATATATACTTTATGATGCAAATAAAATGTGTGTGTGTTGGGTTATATGCTCAAGCATTTCAGATGACTAGATGATGGTTTGTGTTCAATGAATAGTTGATAAAAGAAGACAAGAAGGAAAGGAGACATGAGGATGAATAAAAATCACTGAACCACTGGTGAACTACTGCCCTTGTCACGGCACAGCACAGGCAGAAATTTCATTAGTAACATACGGACAGGAGGATGAAAATCACCATTTATCTCCAATATCCTACTATGATGTCTATTTATGTCAGTCTAGGAGAAAGACAGAACTTGTTAATCTTTCATTCTATGGTAAAGAAAAGAAATATTGGGAAAAATTCATTTCTATCAGGAAACCCAGAAACATTGGTTGCAGATATAAATATCACATCCTATCCTTCAGTTCAGTTCAGTTCAGTCGCTCAGTCGTGTCCGACTCTGAGATCCCATGAATCGCAGCACGCCAGGCCTCCCTGTCCGTCACCAGCTCCCGGAGTCTACCCAAATCCGTGTCCATCGAGTTGGTGATGCCATCCAGCCATCTCATCCTCTGTCGTCCCCTTCTCCTCCTGCCCGCAATCCTTCCCAGCATTAGGGTCTTTTCCAATGAGTCAACTCTTTGCATGAGGTGGCCAAAGTATTGGAGTTTCAGCTTCAACATGAGTCCTTTCAATGAGGTCCCAGGTAAACAGCTTAACATAATAGCTGGCATTCTCCTGGCTTTCTTACTGTAGATGCCAGTGAAAAAGAATGAGATCATTATGTAGATGACGAAGTTATCACTGAACTCCTGCAAATCTTTTTGACAACAACAAAAAAATGGAATAAGAAATGTTGCCAACAAAATTATCACCACGGTGAACAGTATATGTTATTCATAACAGGACCCACCCTCCCCAGTAGCTATGGACATTTGGAGTCAGAAGACACTTCAAGGAGGAGAAAATTAGATTTCTATGGACCACATAGTTCTCATCAACTCAGGAGAGAGAGAGGAAATGTCCCAGTCCAAACTTTACTTGAAAGAGAAAACTTTTCCCAACACTACTGATGTACTTTGGTCTAACATAATGTCTTCTCCATTGCCATACTCTCTTGACATGTAACAACCTCTAGTGAGAAAAATTGTGTCTATCTCATCTTTATCCTTATCCCTATCATCCTATGGTATATAGCCATATACTTGGAAGGCCTTAAGTAAATGCTACAATGGGCCATAAAATAGCTTAGAAAAGAAAAAATGTGAGAAAAGCAATTAGTGAAACAACTAGTGGAAGCAAAGGCAAAACAGAAAGAAAGCCACTATAGCCAGGACATTCAAGACTTCTCCCTTCAGTGGATAAGGTAATTTTCCTGCTTCTGGCATAAAGAGGGATTTGATTTTTTTTCTTCCTTATTTTTCACATCCATTCCAAATCTGTTGAAATATTAGTAGACCTTTTCAAGATGGGTGTTAAACTTCTACAAGTCTAGCATTCTTTACGTAAAGGGATAAAAGTAGCCAAAGATTCTTCACAGTCCTAATTTCAGCTGGACAACTAACTTCCTGTGGAGCCTTGAGAATGTATTTTAACCTTTCTAGATTAAGGCCATGGCTTTCTCATAGGTAAAAGGAAGCTAAATTATCTTCCTATACTTCATTCAAGAAGTGTTTTAGAATCCAAAGAAGACACTGGGAAATTATAAAACATTTTATTACTTTTTTCCCTCCAAAGATAAAAAGGGATAAAGATAAAAATCATCCCTCCAATGAAGGGAAGACATGACGTCTACAGGATTAAGTCATTTTAGGTTCTTAAATGTACAGCATTCTTAAATAGGAACCGCAAACCTTTAGTTCTGGATAACCTCTCACAATTGAACCACTGTTGTAATACATTCTTATAATGGCAAGGTTTTAGAAAAGAGGGTAAAAATACCTTCTCTGAGCAATTTGTGTGCAAATGGAACAGCTTATTAAAGATTCCCTCAATGAGAATGTGTAAACACTGGTGTTGGCCACAAAGAAACAGTTTCCTAGGGCAAACTTCATGGTTTGATTTCCCAGAAATACCCTGGAAACTGAACAGAAGGAAACGCCTTATACTGCTTTGTCTGTAGCCACAAAATATACACATAGGGTCCCACCCAGCCTGAATTTAACCCTGTGCCCCCCAAAAAGAACAAAAATAAGTTTTAAAAATCCCATGATGAGGCCATTGTACACATAAAAATAGTAGCTACACTACCTGTGCACAAAAGCCAATATAATTCTGGCCAAAGAAACAGTTCCTTCAGAGTAGAAAGGTGAACAGGTGCCCTGTGATAATATGTTCTAGGCTAGAAACCATTCAAGGTTACCTCTGCTCCCCTCAGCTCTACTGAGTTTAAATCCACCCTGGGTGAAGAAGGAAGAGGGTAGTTGGCAATTTACTCAATTTAGAATATTTAATGGACTTCAGTGAATATTTATAAATATATATCTGTCAAATATTAATTTCTTTTAAAAACTGTCATTATTGTAATTGTTGATCTAACAGAAGATTTAGAACAAATCACTCAGACTTATTCTACTCTTACATGGTTAACTATATCTCTACTACCATCTTATACCCCAAACGAGGCTTATCATTGTCTTCCTATCCTACTCCCATCCCATCACACTAATTTACTGCCAAGATTAACCACGTTTGTTAGCAGATTGGAAACTATAGAGTCAACATCAACCTCTTTCCTTCTTTCCATAACTCAACTGATCAACATTCCTTTAAATATTTCTTAGAAATGCTTCTCATTTTCTCTGTCGTTGCCATGGTCCTGGTCTTTGGCATACTGCCCTGATTGCTTCCAACCTTGCCTTTCCGCCACTGGTTCTCAACACTAGTTGTACTACCTCAAAAATTTGAGAGGTACCCCCAAACTTCATACAACTATCCCTAGAGGGTAAGTTGTTGCTTGCCTGCTTCACTCCAAATAATAAATTTTAGTGTAGAGACATGTGGAATTTTTTATTAATTTTAAATGGGAGTGCTTTATAGTAATGGGCTTCCCAGGTAGCGCTAGTCATAAAGAATCCACTTGCCGATGCAGGAGATACAAGAAACACAGGTTCGATCCCTGGATCGGGAAGATCCCCTGGAGAAGGAAATAGCAAACCCACTCCAGTATTCTTGCCTGGAGAATCCCATGGACAGAGGAGCCTGGCAGGCTACAGTTCCAAAGGGTCTCAAAGAGTGATACACAACTGAAGTGACTGAGCGCAAATACATGCACTTTATAGTAATATTTATTTTCATACTATCAACTGACACACAAGTATTTCTGGTCAATGAGTGTAAAATGCCTGTGCCATTTATTTTGTAGGAAAATTTTTTCTTTGCCCCAAATAACCCAGAGGTTACAAACTGCTATAACTGAGTTAGGAGTAATTATCACTGTCACGTGATGTGCTGGAAAGATCATAGGACTAAGGAATTTGAGTTCTGATTCTTGGATAAATTATTTATTCTGATGAGTTTCTGGTGTTTTTTTTTTTTTAATGAGAATAATATTTTCCTTTCATACCTCACAGAATTATTGTCAGGGTTAAAAGAGATAATATATATAAAAAAGTATGTACAACTACAAATTATAAATGGCCTCCTCTTCAGATATCTGTTTTATTTCTAAATAGACTGTAAATCTTTAGAATTGTCTAACTTTGTTGTAAGTAAATATTTCAAATCAAGCAATATTCTACCAAGAAGAAAAGGCACTTTTCAACAGTTATTGTCTCTGTAATCACGTGTGCTTACTGTACACCAAAGGCAGCCCTCTCTACTTAAAGAAACTGTAAGTCAGAGTATGTGGAAGCCCTCTCACGTTGCCAGCACTTTCTCCCACATCTGTAATCACTCCCCACTGTCCTTGGCAAACCCTCCCTAAATCTGTAAATAATTCCTGCTCCCTAATTTCAAAACAAGAAAAAGCAGCCAAAGCAACAGGTAAACTGCCAGCCATGTTTTGATTCCACATAGGTTCATCAGGCCTAGTTATTTCCCAAATTCCCCTGCAAAGAGGGCTGGAGAAAAGTCCAGAAGCTGCTGCCAAGTGTGAGGATGCTCACATCTGGTGAGGGCGCCTTCTCATGTGTTTGATGGTGAGAAAAGAAAGTGTATCTAAACGTTAATTCACAGGATGGTATTGAATGAGTGCAGGGGCAAAGTAGAGGGCCAAGACTAGTTTCAGCCCAAAGTCACATAGCAGGCAGACAGATTTAAATTTGCTTAGGTCCCCACTTGAAGATTAATCTGGATTATCTCCCAATTCAGGGTCTAAAACAATTTTCCCTGGAACTGAAAGGATTTCTAATCATATTCCAATAAACCTGATAAATCCTAGTTAACTTCAAATCCCATGGGATCTTAGTCAAAAACAAAAGCATCACAAACAAAAAAAAAAGATAAAAGAAAAACCTCATATAACAGAAACTACCTATATCAAACTTCTTTATCCTAGATATTTAGGAACACCAGCAAGTTTTAACAACAATCCAATACATAATTCTGAATACAAATTTAGAGGATTCTTCAATTAAACTGTATTTAAATGCAATATTCATGTATTATTCAATTGAGAAATTATTATTTCTAAATAATAATTGAGATTATTATTGAAGATATGTTGAAGATAAATTGGCAAAATGCATTTCTTCTATCTAAGAGTGTATAATATTATCTTCTGTTTCTCAATCATTTGGAGTTATTGAATCTTTTGAAAATCTGATGAAAGATCCAGATGCTCTTACCAGAAGTACAAATATAGCTATAAAATTTACATCCATTTGAAGGGTTGAAGACTACCTAATGCTTATTAAGAATCCTTAATGTTGAAGGAAAATAGATATGAAGATAATACAAAGTAGCATAATATTAAAGCAATAAATACTGCTTTAAGAGCTAAGACCGAGGA